CTTTTGGCTCTATCAAGCGCCCTGGTTATGGCTTTCCTATTGACCTCGGGGTCGAATAAATCGTCAAGAATCGAGTATCCTTCAACTCCAGTGTAGGAAATGCCAATCACCTGAACTTTACTACGGTTTAATATGTCGACCTTGAATCCGTTGTACAACGGCTGTGGAATCAATATAGCATCTCCTTCATCGCAGAAAGTCCAAGCCAGCGCATCAATAGCACTAGCCAGGCCTGGGGTGATGAGAATGTTACCAATACCAAGAGATTTTTGTGGCTTGAATTCGTCGGTTAAAAAGTTCGCGGCTGCAAGACGTAGGCGATGCGATCCTCGTGGTCCAGTACTATAGGTCAAGTGATTCACTGGAAGAACGGTGACCTACACATTTCGATCTCAGAGATGAATCATCTTGGCAAGGTTCAGGTTTTACCTCTTGTTTAATGAAATTTCCGATCTCATCGTGCATCAGACTATTCTCAGCTAGGCGGAGGATGACACTACGAGTGTAAGTTATGAAGAATGGAGTGCGATCATGGGTAACTTGCGTCCCATTGGGGTTATCTGGAGTCCACGGATTGCCCATGGACTTCTCTCGGGGGCCCCAAACATCGCGTAAAACCAAGCCTTCAGCGCCGCGTGCAGAGATGTGATGTTCTGCCGCCGTCGCCGTGATTTTGTCAGAATCTTCGATTGAACTCATGATTCATGGGCTGTTAAACCAGCATTCGTTAGTATGCAGTTCAAAAACTGTATGTACCGTCTCACTCGTCTGAAACTATCAAGCTAGATTCTATCCCTGGGCCTAGAAGGGGTCATGTGCCGTGTCACTTACGTTGAGTTGCTTCTAAAATGGAGGGCTAAACTCTAAGGTTGATCGAGTCCTGAACGTACCGATCGTTCGATAAAAGTGAAGCCGATGATTCACAAGTCATCCCGCTTTAAGTACCTCATGAACGAGTTGGCCGGCGGCTGCCGAGGCGTAACAAGCCACCATAGTCAAGCCGCCGGCCCATTCAGCGGACAGATTTGGAATGGAACCGACCAACCCATTGAAAGTCTCCTCGCCGCCGGCACATGGGTGATTTCCACGTCATGCTTCGCAGTCCATCCACGTAAAGTTTACATTTAGGCGCCATATCTTTTTACGTCATTAGAAGAGCAAGTCTGACAAAGCAAACAAGAGTGAGCAGGTGAAAGCTGGAAAGTGAGCAAAATTCCTAGACTCCCTCCCACCGGGCCCATGCGTTCAAGGCAATCCAATTTGTATCGTTCACAATTTATCGGCTGGGTCAAATACTTTCATGAGGTCGGTCTAGCACTATAAAGCTACACCGCCCCGCCTCCCTACAGGCAAGTTAAGATCACATCATCTACCACCAACAGTCAACTTGTTCCCTGCCAACCTCGCTGCAAATCTCGCAGCAGACCAACGCGCAAAATGCTCACGAAGGAGACGGCTGTTATGCTTGCCAAGTATAATAACTGGGCCGACCAAGTACTTTTCGCAGCGATCCAAAAACAGCTGCCGCCTGGGGCGGTCTACCAGCCGCGCACAACTCTCTTCAAGTCCATGATGGGCACACTCAACCATAATCATCAGGTCGACCTGATCTGGCGTGCGCATCTACTCGAAGAGGACCACGGCTTCTCGACCCGCCGTGATCTGTTATACCCCAAATTTGACGAGTTGGTCGAAAAGCAGTTGGAGGTCAACCAGTGGTACATCGATTGGGCGAGCAGGCAAGATGGGGAAAGCTTCAGCAAGCGATCCAAGTTCAACTACGTCAACGGCACACCTGCAGAGATGACCTTGGGTGGTATGTTTCTGCATATTATCAACCATAAGACCTACCATCGAGGTTGGGTTAGTGAGATGTTCTTTGAACACAGCACCAATCCGCCCGAGACCGATCTCTGTGTTTACTTGTGCCAATAATGGCATGGATCTGGACTCTGGGCTACTATGTCCTGGGCACGTCAGCGGGCCGGAATGCTTCTACCGAAAATCTGGAAAATTCAATGAATAACGATTCGTTTAGCACGGAAATGTTAGTATAAACCTGACGGTAGAAGAGAAGGTGAAATTGATGACGGTCAACCCAGACCATTTTGAATGGAGGGAAAGCTGCTATTGTGTCCAATCGTATTGGGGCTTTTACAAGATGACTGCACGTGTTATCAGTGAGAAATCCAGGATGAGTGCATTTCATATGTTCGTAATTGGCGATTTATATAAGCAACTGCCGGTCGCACCTAAGTGGGCGCCGGGTAAGTACGCACCGGAAGACCCGCTCTGATCGGCCGGTATTGAAACCAAGTGGACCAACCTCCCGGATAGCAAAACTTTCTAGTCCCAACTCACAACACCGTTCCAGCCCCTCTACCATCGCTGCAGCTAGGTTCAAACGAGAAAGACAGCAATACTGCATGAGAACGACCCTCTCATCACCCCCACATGTTCTGAATCCCCGAACAAAAGTCATCCGGGACCCTACACTGCGGCGCCCCCGCCCCCGGCGCCGAAAAGCACTTGTGGCCCCCGCTCTCGAGCTGGATACACACGTGGCCCACGGGCGTGGCGTTGGGAAAAGTCTGCCGCAGGAAGCAGTCCGGCTGAAGTTTGACCTGCGTGCCTTTATCACGCGAGAACCACTGCCAGGATTCGCATGTCCCCGAGAACCTGAAGCCGGTGATGGCGTCGTCTGTGGGACCGTTCTCGACACAGTTTTGGGCTTGGGCGCGGCCGGCGGCTAAGAGAGTGGTTGAGAGGATCGAAGGGAGACGCATCTGGGAGGGTGGGATGTCAGTCGATGGATTCGAAGTGGCATAGGGCTCAAGACTTACCATGAGAGAAGAGCAGTCTGTGGATGAGTAACGATTGTTGCCGTATAAGTGCTGGGAAGGAGTTGATCGTGAAGGAGACTGATAGCAAGAATTTGGAAGGAAGTGAAAAGAGTGACTATTCCGCGGAAATTGGAGCGGGGGGGGGGAGGGGGGTGCGCAATGACTGGCAAAAGTGAGAGCTACGAGTCTTGATAAGTATCCCTCTCAAACATTCCATTCAAACTGATTCAGTCTCTTCAATGAGAGCGTTCCGTACCTCTATACGTGTATGAGCTGACCGCAATGATTAAGTCAATTTTTGATCAGTGATGGACATATAGAGTTATAGACTTCTAAGGCTTGAATTAACCTGATGGAAATGAGCACTATGGTTGTTCTGATTGATAGGAATAGAAGCACTTGTTTAGAGTTGTCTTGGCTCAATCGAAAACGATGATGATCTTTCCTCCGTCGTGAGTCGTGAATGACGAGTGATGTGAGAAAGTGTAAGGTACTTTAGCTACACACTTGGCATAAGCTTAGTCAAACTGTTGGTCCTCCGACATCCCCTGTCAAACCTCTCGGTTCTCGGAGTCATGGGACGAACACTGACACAAGCGACATGTGCTTCAACCCGAGTGCTTGGAAACTGCAAGTCAAGGCAAAGTCCAAAGTCTGGTACATATATTCCGCCTAATCATTTGTGGTTTTATGCCCGACGTTCTTTGGTCCCCGCGATTCACAATAAGTGGAATGAAATGATGATATTTCTACATAGGTTGATCTTCGTGCATATGCATCTATCTGAACTCGCCAGCGTTCTTGGCAGAGTCCGGACGCTCCGAATATCTCGCACAGCCTAAGAGATCACGTTTGAGGGCAATTTTCAGCGGATATAGTAGTCAACCTCTTAGAGTTCTATATTTGCAATGAAATGTGAGTCAGCCTGAACAGTTGATACTATATTCAAAGCATAGTTGATTGAGGTCATTCGAGAGGATGAAGATCACTTCATGTAAGAAGACATAATGATTATTAGTATCTGTTTTCCAGATTTCATCATGTTTGCTATCCGCCTTCAGCTCCTTGTTGAATCTCTTCAAAAACCTTGGTCTTAGTCACGCGCTCAGAAATCAACCCCAGCCATTCTGTACTTGCAAAACACCTCGCATCACTCACTACATCAAGCGACCCAGTCAAGCCGTCACACTCACTCCTTTGAAGACAAAAAGCAACAAACAATGAAGAGCCAACACATCGCCTTACCGGGCCTCCAAGCCGCAGCCCTCGCCTTCCTTGGCGCCCGCAGCGCCTCAGCAGCAGCAGCAGCAGCAGCAGCAGCAAAAGTCTTTTGCGCCGGCGCCAACAATAAGGTCGTCGCCGACACCAACTGCGCCATCAGCCAGGCGCCAGCCCCAAACACCTTCATGTTCAACAGCAAAGCGGAACACCCCGTCGGGAGCACTGTCGACGAGAGCAAGGTCGACCTGTATGATGCCGCCGACATGATTGGGCGCCAGAACGCGCGGTTCCCGCCGGATTACGAGATGGAGACGGAAAGTTTTGGAAAGAGGCAGGAGTGTGCTGGTGGAAATAGGGGAGGTTGAGAAGTTGGGGAAGAAAAGGGAGATGGGAATGATGGAAGATGCAAGTTGCAAGTTGTGTTCTTCAGGCTCGGAGGAACCCTGGATATGTTTTAGACTTATTTTACGTTCTTGAGCGAGACTCAGAGCAGCTGATGGTTGTTAATGGTTGTGCATCTTCCGACATGAACTCAAGCAATATAGTTACATACAGCCTCAAATTATAGGACTACGAGGCTGGGCAAACAATACAGTATGCTGGGCCCCAAACGTTGCGACGCATTTTCCAAAAGAAATCGCCATCATAGAGAAGGAGAATTTGCTAAGCTAGTGAAAGGCGGCTTCGTGGTTGCGCTTATGATTCTCTCGTACATGTAGTGTTCAATCACCATTGGGGCGGCAATGTATTGGGAAAGTTGAGAAGTATGAGTGATGAAGCCTTCGTGCGAGCCCAGATTGAATGTTATCCAAGTAAAACCAGAACACTCATCAAAACGAGACTTCGGCACCTCGTCAGCAAGAAAACGCGAGAGCGTCTCCAATGATCATATTAATGATGTGAATTTTGATGCCAAGGTAGTAAGAGGTACTCTAATTTTACCAGCTCATACACCACCTCTGGTACTTGTAAAAACCCCAATGCAAACGCCGATTTTTGGTGTGCAAAATGCCATACAACGCCCCAGCCATGACTGAATCTCATAACCCAAACCTCGATCGTTATCAGACCAAGGCCGATGCCGTTTCCTTGCCGGTGTTTCTCATCTCTTTTCTTCCTCTTCTTGGTCTAAGCAGATCCGTCTACTGCTCCTCCTGGACGACAACGCCCCACTCATGCTGCTCGCCACCGTACATGATGTCCTTCATCCAATTCTTGATCTGGAGAGTGTACTCGCCACCGACGCCTTCGCCGCCCATGCCCATGTTGACGTCCTTGCCACGGTGGTGGATCAGAGAGATGGGGCAGATGAAGAACTGAGATATGGTTAGTAAGTCGTTTGGACGAGAAAATGCACTGGTCAAAACTTACAGCAGTACCAGCGGCAAAGGACTCGACAATGCGGCCCTCCTCGTGAGCCTGGATGACCTCATCGATAGTGTACCTGCGCTCAACAATGTCGACGCTGTCGCCAAGGCGCTCGCGGGCGAGCTGGAGGACACTGCGTCTCGTGACACCGTCGAGAATCAATCTGTCGTCAAGGGGCGCGGTAATAATCTCCGTCCTGCCAGTCTCCTTGTTCTTCCACACAACGAAGAAGTTGCTGGCACCGGCCTCGGTGCAGTATTGCTCCTGTCCGTACAGCCAGAGAATCTGACCGAAACCACGGCTGCGAGCCTCGACGGTAGCCAGCAGAGACGGGCCGTAATTGGCACCGACCTTGGCGTAGCCGAATCCACCAACCCAGGCGCGAACCATATCCTCGGGACTCGTGTGGAGCTTCATACCGCCGACGGGAGAGTCCATGACGGGCATGTAGGTGCAGATAATGTAGAGCATGGCCTCGGAAGGTGCCTGAACGCCGAGCTGGGGCTGGGTTCCGATCATGGTAGGACGGAGGTAGAGGAAAGATCCAGGGCGCTCGCGGGGCAGCCACTTGGGGCCGTCAACGGCCATGAGGGCGATGATGAGCTTCTCGAGTTCGGCGGGAGGGAAGGAGGGCAGGGCAATGCGGGTGGAAGACATGAGCATACGCTCGCAGTTGCGGTCGGGGCGGAACAGGCGAAGCTTGCCGTCGAATCCGCGGAAGACCTTGAGACCCTCGAAGCATTCGGTGGCGTAGTGCAGGACGGAGGCAGTCGGCATGAGGGAGATGGGGCCGTAGGGCTTCAGCTCCGGGGTAGACCAGCCAGTGCCGACCTTCCAGGTGGCAGCGACCATGTGGTCGGTGGCGATGGTCTCGGAGCCAGCATTGGCGGAGGCAGGATCGGGGACGGCGCGCGGGTTCTGTGTACGGGTGTAAATGAGCTTGGAGGCGTCGAGCTCCTGGTAGGCGGGCTTGGTGCCGTTGGAAGCCTTGCCATTGGGAATGGCCTCGAGCTTGTGCTCAATGGCGGAGGAAGTCAGGTCGATGTCCTGGTTGCCATGGTGCAGACCGGGGGATATGGTGCCGGGAGCCATTGCGATTGTTGATGTGAGTCTGATTCGTGTGAGAGACGGTGTGGTGAATATATAAAGAATCTCGGAATTGGCGGGGTCGAGGGGTCGATTTGCCGTTGCTTGAACGAAGTAACAGGTAGCACTGGTTAGAGGAAACACACAAGCAATATGTGTGTATGTGAGAGGATAGACACAAGGAGGAAGAGATTTGGCTTAAGATGGAGAAGGAAGAGAACAAAGCCACGGGGTCAAGTTGTAGGAGTGACGGCAAGAGCTTAAGTAGGACGGGTTTGTCACAGTTTGGCTTGGCTTAAGGTTCTAGTGACAGATGGAGCAGGTGACTCAAGGGCCAATGCAGAGGGGCAGCGGGTCCGGTCTTGGAAAGGGCGTTTTCAGATAACAGGGAACATCATGGAGAATTTGACCTGTGCAGTGCATGGAGCATGGATGTGGATGGGGTGGGAAGGGTAAAGGGAGGACGATACCTCGCAGAGTACCTGAAGGTGTGTGATGTAAGGCAAGGTAGTACGAATACATACACACGGAAAGAAAAGAGGAACAAGCAAACCCGTCCGTCTGAAGTGGTTGCTGGGTACGGATACTCCGTGTGGTTGGCTCCATGGGTGGTTGGCAGAGGGCACGAAGTAGACCAGATGCGTGTAAGAAAAGAGACCAGCAGACGCCAACGGTTCAGAAATTGCTCCATGCCCTAGTCAAGTCATGGATGGATCATGGATGGATGGTGGACCACGGGAAGATGGTTGACTGGAACTTTCAAGCCAAGACAGCCGATATGCTGCATGGCTTTTTGTCGTTGGTATGCCGTCGCTTGCCCGGGGGATCCACATGCGGAAAGGTCGCCAGATGGAGGCAACGCCGTAAGCCCCTTGAGGTTCCCCTTCCGCCATTGTCTTGTTGTGATGTACCATACGGAGTACAGGATAGCAATTCTGGACTCTGGAGAGCGTTATGCCGGTGTTCAACGTCGAGGGATGGCAATGCCGAGCCCGAGTACTTTTTTTTTTTCTTCGATGGAGTGGAGCCGGGCCGGGACCCACCAGCGCGTGAGCAAATGTGAAGCGTCGGTGGCAGCGATTTGAACTTTGGGGGATCCGGGATGGGATGGGCCTGTTTCTCTCACATCTCATCTCATCTCTCGCTTTTCCAACATTTGCCAGTGCGTCGGGCGATGATCGAATCGAAGCCCGTCCTTTGATCGAGGAAGGATTGTCTTGCTGCTCGAGTCCCCACACAGACATGCCGTTCTTCAGAGATAAGCCAGTTGCCAGACTACCAATCCGAGTCTGAGGATGGCCAAAAAGAAGGAAAAAAAGACGAGTGAAAGAAAATTCGGATCCCACAGTTATCCGCTAGAGCCGGGGCCATCCCACCTCGAGATGGCTACAGATAATCCTGCCGTGACTGCGCAGCGTCTGAAGACCAGCAAAGATGCGACTTGTTGCAAGGGACATGATCAGAAAAGATTCTGTGACGAAACAAGAGGTCAAGCCGCGGCCGCCCATTCGTCGGGTGATGGTTTTTTAGTCAATGGCGCGTCAGGTACATGCCGTCGTACACCGCAACGCAATGCAGCAAGTAGCAGCAGCAGTAGCAGCGCCGGTCCAAGGTGTCGCAGGGAACTGCCTGACGGGAGGGAATGCTGTACGAGAAGGCGATGCACCCCCAGTTTGTCCCACCACAAGCCGTCGGCCGGGCACGGCTCCAGTCGGTCGACGTCCTTGTGCCCCATTGCGGCTTTGGTGCGCGCGGTCCGAAGCCGAACGGTGTTGCACCCCCAAGGTCATTGGTAGTGTAGTGTATGTACCGTGGGTGCGTGGCTTCAGCATCGGACTTGGAGTTCGGCTAGTGTAGATGTTGTTTTTGATGTCTCATTCCGACCTTGCTCGAACGCAGCAAACGATGACTCCGAATAGATTGGCTGCCCGATAAGCATCATTCCGGGTGCAGCGATCCGCAAGTTGTCATGTTCAGGGGATGAACATGGGCGAGGTCCGACATCGCAATGATCAAGCGCGCCCTACTTGTCCAGTCCGCACTTTTTGCCCTTTTTGCCCTTTGGGTCGACAACTATTGACATGGCCAGACAGGGTTTTGATGCGGCCGATCGAGTCAATTGAGGTCATCCCCGGTGATGATGGCGTCGTCTTTCCGGGCGGATGAGTCGTAAGTGCACACTTATTGCCTCGCGACCTCGCGATTCGCGAACATGACGGAATAGAAAGTGCGGAATTCATCGTCAAGTTCGTTGCCAAGATGTCAAGGTCGGTGTTGTTGAGATGCGTGCAGCTGAGGTACTTTACTGATGTACCTTACCTCACTTACTTGCCGTGGAGGAAGGCGTCAGGTAGTCAACCAAAGAGCGGAATTGGAAGCAAGTGTTATCGCTATCTGGTTCTTCCTTCCATGTCAATTGTCCCTTCCATTCTCGGTTTCCCATGTTACCCCTCCCGATGATAGCCGAGTGTAGGCGATGACGTGGGGAAACAAGTCCGAGCAACCACAATGGAAGGCACCACCACCTGCCTCCCTTCCTTCCCTTCTCTTTCTGTCCCAATGGTCAGGGAGGTAGCAACCCCCCGTGCTCCCCGCCTCGTGCCTCCCCCTCCATCGTTTAAATCTCTTCAACAGATCCAATCCGAATTTCCTTCTCGAACATTGGATCGTATCGGTTCGGTTGGGTTGGCGGAGGCGAGATCCCTCAAGGTGCCGAGTGTAACCATTGGCGTAGGTGCTGCGTCTACTGGCACTGGACATCTTCTCTCACACGATGCACCACCAATGCGCACCTCCTGCATCCAAATGCACACTTCTAGGTAGGCTGGTTGCCGGAGGCCCGGATCTTCTTCCACGGTTCCCTTCACATCACACACTTTCCATCTTCTCCCCGGTCAGCTCGGAGAGACAATGGGGATCATCTTACCTACATATGACGAGATGGATGCCCAGATCTGGCAGCTGCTTATCCCCAACCGATTTCTAATCCAATACAAAACATCAAAGTACCTCACCTTACCGTTACGAACCTCAACTTGCCCGGTCTGCTCTCGACAAGTGCAGAGGCAACAACACAAACAGCCCAAACGTCTCAGCCCTGCAACGCAACCTGGACGGACATCTGCGTTTGAACCAACAAGACGGGCGCAGACGCCCGGTTCACTGACCTTTGGTCACTTGACCTGCAAATCGCGGGGTACCTTGCCTACACTCTTCCTAGGTACGTGGCTTGGCACCGGTCGTGTCTCGTCTCTTCACCTTAGATCGCGGCGCCAATCTTTTCGTTCGCACTTGTTGGCATAGTGTGTGTGTGTCTATCTGGGCTACGGTATCTCATTCACACAGAGGCGGTCTGGAAAGTACTCTGAAAAAGACGCTGTTTATCCTTCTGAGACAACCCTCACGCACACGCAGACTCACCTACACATACTCAACCGAGACATCCCAAGCAATGGCACGCGGAAACTAGCAGACGCGTCGAGGCAAGTATACTAAAGTAACATTCTACTGTTTGTGGTTTCCAGTACGTTCTCCAGGTATCATTTCGTAGTTCCCTTTCTTCAGTCCGTGGCCTGTTGAAGGCCAATCCATTCTGCCCTTCAACCTAAAGAATGCTGCTACTTGAGGTATCCAAATGTAAACATGCTGCCGGCCTCATAATGGTGCTCCTTTCCAGAGATTCCAACGATGCATGCACACAAACACACACACAATCTCACTGACGCGCCCTATCCGCCTCCCGCGCCGCCTGCTCCTCCTCGAGAATCTCCCTCCCGCGCGCCGCAGACTCCCCCTCGGCCTTGATGCCCTTCTTGCGCTGCCGCTCCTCGTACATGTCGCGGCTCCTCATGATGCGCTGCACAATCGTCCCCGCGTTGACGCTCGCAAACTCGTGCTCCCCCACGGCCCGCATGATGCCCATCTCCTTGGGCGCCGTGTACGGGTCGTACGTCAGCGGCATGAAGGCCGTGGGACCGTGGTACACGGCGTCCGGCGTGCCCCACGGCAGCGACGTGAGGTAGGCCTTTGTCGGGGCGAAGGGGGCGCCGAATACGACGGCGTCGACGTACTGTTCCACCCCCATTTGTTAGCAATTCGTTCCTTGAATAGTCATACTCGAAGCCGTTACTAATGGCTGTTGAAAGACTTACCCGACACTGTAGCACGCAGAGACCGCGCTCATAAATGTTCATGATGGGGTAGTTGATGCCCTTCCAGTGGTTAATCTCCTCGTCAGAGTGAATGCCCGCCACGACGTACGCAGGCGGGTAATCGCCGCCCTTGCTGACGCGCTCGTTGACGGCCTGCTCGGTATACCACCCCTCCCCGCGCGCCAGCTCCTCCTCGGCCTCGACCACCCGGCGGAGGAACTCAATGTGCCCGCTGGAAAACAAATCGAAGCCGCCGTCGACGTAAACGACGCGCTGGCCGATTCGCGGTCCCTTGCCCGGCAAGAACCGCGAAAACACGCCCTTCTCCTCGACCGTGGCCTCGGCTTTTGCCTCCCCCGAAGCAGCCCAGAACCACACCTCGACACCGGGGTTCTTCCCCGTCTCGTCGGTAGCATACAGCTTCATCCGCTCCGTCAGGGCCTGCGCCTCGGCCTTGACCTCGTCCCGGGACGCAGCACCCTGGCCCTGGCCCTCATCGCCAGACAAGAGATTCTCCAGGGATTTGATAAAGTGCGTCTTTGTGCAGAGGAGCATGCGGCCGACGAGGTCGGTGGTGGAGATGCTGGGCGTGCGCTTGACGACCTTGAAGCGGCCGGCCTCCTTGACGAAGCGGTAGCAGTCGTAGCCGTCGGCGTCCGAAGTGATGTCGTCGCCGTGAACGACGTACTTGCAGCCGTAGTGGCTGATCCAGTCGAGCTGCGTCACGTAGGGGGCCTGGCCGACGGATTTTGTGACCCAGCGGCAGGCGTCCACGGCAGCGAGACTTTTGTGAATGTTAGTCAAGTGCTTTGAATTGGAGTAGAGAGATATACCGCTCTTGGAGGGTCATGACTG